AACCCAACCCACCGCTGTAGCCCTCATTTTCTCTGCTTCGTGAACCATAGCTCGACCGCGACCACCATTGGCTGTAGGGAAGGAATTTGTTGACGATAACGTGGGCTTTCAGGCCATAGATGAACCAGGTTCCTCCTCCAAACGTTGAAATAAAAAATTTAGGGTTGTGATTCACAAAATAGATTTGAAAATTACTGTTATGCAGATAGATAAATGGTATGCTTGAAAAATGTGGCAAATATTGTGACGAACATTTATGCATTTACCTTTTAGAGTTAAAGTATGAATTTTGCAGAACGTAGTATGAATACGCAGAAACTGATCCAACATAAAATAAAAGGATCACATCTTTGCAGAACATAGTATGATTATGCAGATTGATAATTAGTTGAACGAATGCATATAGTTGTGTAATTTTCAATGTGTGATTGATAATGTGATTTTGCTGAATTTGTTGTCAATCACGCATGAATTGTTGTAATGAACTGCTATCAACTAATGTGTTAGCTGCGTGACTTGAATTAACTATTATCAACATTGATAACTATTATCAAACTGAACTTAAATGTTCATAACTATTACTGATTTGTTGATAAGTATTTCAGTGTGCTTTGTTGAAAATCACATGTGTCATTTGTTGATAACTATTTCAATTTGATAACTACTGAATCACAGTCTCCAACAATCTGTCCCTAATCATTTCACTTCAGCATGATTTGTTGATAATAGTTGTTTAACATGTGTGATTGATAATTTACTTGACATTGAACTGATATGTTTGTAAAACTACCATGTTTGTTCAGATTGAAAATGCTATATGTGTAACATGTGTGTAATTAATCACAAATGCTATGTTTGAAACTACTGTATTTGTTCAGTTTCAAAATGCTATATGTGTACATTGAGCTGCGATGTTTGTTCAAATGCTATTAACAGTTTAGTCTGTGTAACCTATGTGCAAATGCTATTAAACATGACAGTTTGAACAAATAGATGTTTTTAGTAAAGACACATTATGTCCCTCAAATTAAACTAGACCTGCTATTAACCCCATCAAACAGAAGCATAGCAGAGCACTACAAATTTCTCATGTATGCAGATTTAAAAAATGGCTTCTTCTTCTAACATTAGCAACATAAGATTACAAACGAGGCTGTGCAATTGTGGAAGAACCGCTGCCATACGTATTGTCAGAACAATAAGAATGGAAATGAAGGGCGTTTGTGCTTTGTTTGCCCATCAAAATATGTAAGTATGTATTGGAAATTTTAATCCTTTAGTAGTCACAGTAATATTTGTCGTATTCAACTAACTGATTGTCATGCATTGTAGAGTACCACTCCCACTCCCCATTGCAATTACTTCAACTTCGTGGCTGAAGATGATGAAGGCGTTATGTCCACAATCCCTTCCAACACTAGAGCTGGTGATGCTTTAACAGTAGAACACTTCAACGATATAAGGACGAGGCTTCATGACTTGGGAAATGACCATGGTCGAAGGCTTGAAAAGATAGAAAATATTATTAAAGCGATGGTGTATTTCATTATATTTTCTAAGGCCTTGCTACATCCCCCTAATTTTTGGCCCCTTAATCCCCCTAAATTTCAAACCAAGGCAAAAATAAAAAATAAAATAAAATAAAAATAATTGCCCAAAACGACGTCGTTTTGGGCAAATTTTTTTTTTTTTTTTTTTTTTTTTTTCTTTTTTGACCGGTTTGAACCTAGTTATTTCAAAGGGAACCGGTTTCAATGATAGAAAATAGGAAAATGATTTGTCCCCCTAAAAATGCCCCCCCTAATCCCCCTAATGCCCAAAGCAACGTCGTTTTGGGCATGTTTTTTTTTTTGCCTTGTTCTGATTTTTCGGGGGATTAGGGGCCCCCAAATTCGGGGGATGTAGCACATCCCTTCTATCATTTTGTACTTGATCATGTAACTTTCGTACTTCTTTGTATTTTGGGAAATTGAATGGAAGTTTGTACCAGTTTTTGTTGTGTTGTACTTCATGATGTAAGTAATGTTTATGGAATGAATTTTATTATGATGTAACTTATGTAACTTACTTAATAGCTTTGTGGAATGAATTTTATTATGGAATGAATGTACGGAATGAATTTTATAAGTTATTATGATGTAACTTATAATGTTAGTCTGTAATGAATTTTGGGAAATGTTAGTGTCATTGTAAGAGCTTTATGGATGCTATTTGGCAGATCTGTGGACGAATTTTGTGGATGGTATGTGGATTCATTTTTGTGGATGCTATGTGGATGAATTTTGTGGATGCTTTGTGGATGACTGAATTTTGTCGATGCATTGTCACTTATCTGTGGCCTGTTATCTGTTACAGGTTCTCTTATCTGGATGCATGAATTTTGGTTGTAATGAACAACTTCTGTTATGTGTTGTAGATTTGTTTGTAACTAACAGATTTGGCAAATCTGTTATCTGTCAACTAGTATCTGTTTGTCCCTTATCTGTGGCCTCAACTATTATCTGTTAGCAAGTTGAAAGCGGATATAGAATGCGTGGTACATTTCTTCACCATCGTGCTGACTTCTTCATTAATGAATATCAATACTCTGTTTCTGCATGGTCTATTGTATATTTTTTTGTTTGAAGGGGAACTGATTAGTTCATAACAATGCACAATGGGAGAAAAATTGCTAATGCACAGGTTGACCCCATGGGGTATGCTTCCACACAACCGCTGTGTTTGAAAAAACAAAACATTTTGTTCCTATATTGATGTTAAGAGTGTATGAAATCGTTGGCTGGTTGTGCACAATTTTTGTTTGCAATTACAGCTTGTGATTCCAGTCAATGATTCCGACACTTAAACCTTATTGTCCATATTGAACAATTCACAAACATGAAGTAATCAACAAAACATAGGTTAATGATAGTTTCTGATATCGGTCATTGACATTACAAAAAAATTACCTTGTCATCGTACCAACAAAAATTATAAAACAGCTTTTAGTCTAGGACGGTGACCCAAAAAAATACCTTCAACAAAGTGGACATGATGAAGACGTTAACGCATGCACCGTTGCAATGGTTAGCAGAGTATGACAATCTGTTAGTTTCTAAGTCGTTTATTTTCGTGCGACGATGCCATCTTACAAGACTACACTTACTATGTCATACACATGTCCAGGTCTGCTAATCCTCGCTCAAATCAACAACTTCGGAGTCTGAGTAATCTGAAAGGTCAGGGTCCGACACCAGTGCAGGATCCTCCATTATAGAACATAAGATTACAAACGAGGCTGTGCAATTGTGGAAGAACCGCTGCCATACGTATTGTCAGAACAATAAGAATGGAAATGAAGGGCGTTTGTGCTTTGTTTGCCCATCAAAATATGTAAGTATGTATTGGAAATTTTAATCCTTTAGTAGTCACAGTAATATTTGTCGTATTCAACTAACTGATTGTGAACGACATAAACTCATAGTTGCTTCGCATTGTCTGACATGTCGCCCATATCCAATTACGATAATTCCTGCAAAGAATTTCATGCAATATTCATAAGGATGCAGAAAGAACGTTACTCCCAAA